TGTCTGCTTGTTTGTTTAAATTCTCTGGCAGAGACATGCTGTCCCGGAGGGCGGGGAAACCAGTGTGGGGCTCACCCCCTGAGGGAGCGTCATTATCCCCGTGGGCTTTAGCTGGGAATGTTTCTGAAGAAGCCCTAATCCCCTGCCCTGCCCAGCTTCAAAGTCTCTATCACTCAGAAGAGGAGAGGAGGGCTGTGGGAGCCAACAGAATCCTCCAGACCTTACTGCCCCAGCCTGTTCTCCATGCCCGCTCCACTCAGCTGGCTAAACTCCTGCTCTTCCCTCAAGACTCAAGTGTCACCTCCTCCAGGGAGCCTTCCCATACTCCCAGCAATTATGTGCCCCTCAGGGAGAGTTTCTGTTTTCAGTTTACACTGGTTCATCTCCACAGGAAGCTCGTTCCACGTTGTTGTAGCCACAGGGCCCAGCCCCAAACAGGGCTCATGAGCTGTTTAACACTTGCTTGCGGAATAAATGTCCCATGCTACCTCCTGCAGAAAGCCATTCATGGTGCCCGATCTAGCCACTTGGACTGCTCAGCCTCAGTGACTTCATGACACTGTGCGTCTCTCAGGGCCTCTTTCCTGTCTTACCTTCTGGGATAGCTGGGTGCACAACTGTCTGTGTGCAGCAACACTCCAAGGCAGGTATTTTTGCTCCTGTTTTACAGATGAGGGGAATTGTGGGTCAGAGAGGTGGAGGAACTTGCCTAAGGTCACACAGTTAAAGAGTGGCGGAGCCAGGAGTGCCACTTGGGTCCATTTGAGTCCAAAGCCCCTGCACTTTCCACCGTACTACTGAGGTGTCCCTGTGTCTCCTATAACATCAGCATAGTGCCTGGTGCCTGGTAGGCCTTGGAAAAGATCCACAAATTGGAATGAAGCTCGGCTCCTAGGCAGAGCCCAGGTTGGGAGGGAGAATGCAGCTTTAGGATCTTAGCTGCCACCTCATGCCACCATCTTCTTCCCAGCTGAAGGACTCCCTCCAAGACTGGGCGGGGGTGCGGAAAAGGGCAGCAATGGGCAGGATGGGGGTCAGACTTTGAGGGGTAGCAAAGACTGGGGTGTCAGGACATGGACATGCCTGGGGCTGTCGGGGAGAAGCAATGCAGGGAGACAGCCTGGTGTTAGGGGATTACACCGAGGCCCATGAAGGAGAGCAGAGACTTGGCTGACGGGGCCTGGGGGTGGCATGGGTAGGTACGCTCCCCAGACAGTGACCCTGCCCTGCCCCTTCTGCCCGCTCTCCTGCTTGCTCCTCACCCCTCTTCCCTCCCCCTTTCCTAACTGGCTCCTCTGGGGAAGGGAACCTCTCGGGCTTCCTCTGTTCCAGTTTTGTTACCATTCGGCATCATTCCCTAGCATTACCCCATGTCAAACCTCCAGATCCAGATGGCAATGGGAGGTTGGCACTGGAAAGAGAGGCCCTTCTTCCTTGCTTTCACCTTGTCTTTCTATTGCTTTGTTGCAAAGACCTGGTGATAGAGAGAGGAGAGAGAGGAGAGAGAGAAAGAAGGAGAGAGAGAGAGGGATCAACCCACAGCCAGACAGAGAATTGAGGGCTTTCTGCAGATTAGATCTGTATCCTGCTAGGCCCCTATGGTTCAGGGGATGGAGTGAGGGAGAAGACCTTCCTTCCTTCATGGAGAAACCACTTGGAGAAACGTTTAGACAACAGCAAGACCCAGCAACTCTCTCCTCACCCTCTTTTCCCACTTCGGAGGGGCTCTGTCTCTTCATCCACGGGCTTGGAGGCTAACTGCCTACCCCCACACAGGCGAGAGCTTCCCTGAACATCAGAGGTGACAGGATGTCAGGACAAAGGACAACTATGTGCCTTGGGTCCATCGCTACTTCCTTTGTCTAGGGCCATTGCTGGCTCCTGGCCACCTTTCACGCTCTTCTCCACCCACCCCTGCCCCTCTCTCCCCTTCCCCCTCACCTGGAACACCTTCCCCTTCCTCCTTGGCTCCTTCTGAACTGCTTCAGGGCCACAGGTCGAGGCTGCTTGGCCCTGAGGTGGGGCCCTCTGAGTGGGGCTGAAGTTGCCCCTCAAGGGGACCCAGCATGACCTCTGTCTGGGCTGCTCTCTGCTCCATCCCCCCACCATGTTGCTGGGTGACCTTGGGTCCCTCTGTGCCCTTGGGATTCTTTGGGGGGATAGTCTGCCCTGATAGTCCCTTCCCTGAAGCGACCTGTGGAGGGAGGATAAGTGGAATCAAGTTTGTTCAAGAGGGATTAAGCCTGTGGGAAGAGAAGGTGCTGTAAAGACACGATGTGGTCATATGAGTGTTGATTTGTGCTCCTTCTTCTGTGTGTTTCTTGTTCCCGTTTTTGAAGACCCAGGTGCACTGGGCTCTCAATTCGATGATAATGTGGGCATTGGCTGGGTCCATGATAGTGTACTGTTGTGAAAGCTGGTGACACCACCTTGGCGGACGGGATGCAGTGTGAAACCCCCTTCTCCGAGTCACCACCAGGTTGTGTCTCTAAAATGAAGAGTGGAGATGGGAGGCCCCTCCTCGCCCTAGTGAAGGGTGCTCAAAACCCCTCAGGCCAGGCTGCAGTTCTGCTCCCCTCATCCCCCTGGTTCCCTGGGCAGGGTCACAGAGGAAACCTCAAATAGGTCATTGTAATACACCTTGCTGAATACCACTATGAGGGATGGTTGGCTCAGGTGGGAGAGAGCCCTGGGGCTATTAAGTGACAATTGATGGCCACCCCTCCTTGGAACCCTTCCATCCTCCTCCCAACTCTAGGGTCCTTTACTAAGACCTCCTCTTCAAGCTTCTCCAGGGGCTGAGGATGGCTGAGATGGGAAGGATGCAGAGAAGGGGGCCAGAGTGAGCCCCTCATGGTGCCACCGGGAGCCTCTATCCTGGGTTCTGCCGGCCCCAGGGTAGGGATGAGGGAGGGGGACTCTGCCAAGGCGCCCACATCTTGTGCTCTGGGGGTGCTAGAGGCAGACCAGGTTGGGCTAGGAGGAAGTTTAGTGGCTTTCCTTCCATATCCCACACAGCAGCTTGGAGCATGGAGCCTAGGTGAGCAGGCCTGCCTGGGAGGGGGGCCCTGAGCCAGCAAATAAACATTTACTAACTGTAAAAAGACCTTGTGCCTGCTGCTGGGGAGCCTGCCAGGTGGTGGAGACAGGACTGGAGGCATGAATGATGGAAAGGGTAGAATGAGGTCGGGGGGAGCCAGCCTCTCTGCTCATAGGGGCCTCAGGACACCATTCCTGTGGAATTGGGGTCCTAAAGGGGTAACCTAGCACTCCCACCAAACTAGAGCACCACAAGCAGAGGCAGGGGGCTGGCTGAGTAACCTCCCTGGATCATTTTGGTCAACTTAGGGGAAGCTGCTGTGTTCCCATTCTCAGCCCAGGCCTTCAGGGAGGCTGCATCAGCCCCAGGCCAGGTCCTGGCCAGATCTGGATGAATAATGAGACCGGTTGGTCCCTCTCTTCCCACAGGTATCAGAGGTCCCGCTTTGTTCCCTGGGGGAGCCTGGGAGCTGCTGGGTGAAAGCCCAACCAGGAATTTTCCCAGGTTGGTTCCTATATGCAAGGGTGGGGTGGGGGTCCTTGGGGAGCACTTAGGGAAGATATGGGGAGTTGTGGGAGAGGGAGGTTTTGAAGGAAGGGAAGGGACTGGGAGAAAGAGAGGAGAGAGGCTGCCAGCTGGGAGAAGTAGGCAAGGGATCCTGGGGGTCTGGGGGGTGCTGAGGAGAATGCCCCCCATTTTGTTCAGAAGATGAGCTGTGAGCCTGGCTGGGGCTGATAGAAGCCTTGGCCCCCAGCCTGGTGGGAGCTCTGGGCAGCTGGCCTACAGACGTTCCTTAGTGCTGGTGAGTAGGTTTGAATCATCACTTGGGGCCTGGCCTTCAGCCGCCCCCACCAGCCCCCTGGCCTCAGTTCCTTGGCAACATCTGGGGTGGGGGGGAAGCAGGAACAAGGGCCTCTGTCTGCCCAGCTGCCTCTCCCTTTGGGCTCTGCCAGACTCCACAGTGCATACGTGGGCTCCAACAGGTCCTCTTGCCTGTGGGCCACTGACTAACCCCAGAACCACACAGCTTCCCGTTCTCAGCCCCACAAACTCAGTGCCAAATACTTCTCCCCAAGGAAGCCTCCCTGGACACATCCCAAAGGACCCCAGTCACCCCAGCCTGTTGGCTGCAGCTCGCTCTGATGTCAGCAGGCCAGATGAGGGCTCCAGACGGGCACGTTGTCCAGATGGATACATCGTGCCTCCTGTGCCCAGCACTGGGCTCTCTGCACATGGGGCCACTCAAGTCCCAAATATGCCGCTGTTTGGGAGGTCAGAAATGGGGGCATCAGGGGTAATCTGCCTCCACCCTCTTCCCGAGGCCCATTCCCTCTTGAGCCAGAGCTGGGGTGTGCAGACAGTGGTCACTAGGGGGCGCTCGGCCACCACAGGGAAGCTGGGTGAACTTGGGAGAGCAGTGTCTGCGTGAGAGTGAGGACGCGTGTATGTCAGTGTGAGTGTGTGTATGTGTATGTGCGTGTGTGTGTGTGTGTGTGTGCAGCTGGGAGTGTTGGAAGGAGAGAAGGCCAGGGGTCACCCCAGGATTCCAATAGATCTGTGTGTCCCCCTCCCCTCCCCACCCCTTCCAATATTCCCAGCAAAGAGGGAATAGCTCTGGAGCCCTGTCCGCACATAACCTCACTTTCCTGTTTCCTGCCCCCAAACCGCGCGGGCGTGTGTGTCTCCAGGCAAAGGGCGGGTGGATGGGTAATTTTTAGGGTGTGAACCTTGGTGGGGGTCGAACTTTCCCTTCACTGGGGTGAGTTAGGGGGTGGGGGCAGGCTTCGCTGGGCGTCCCCAGGGGAACGCAGCACCAAGGACTCGAGCCGCGCGCCGAGAGGTTGGAGAGGAGGGGCTGAGGCTGGGCCTGTCCCCGCCCCCGGGGCGTGCAGGGGCGGGGTCCGGGCGGGGCGGGGCGGGGCCAGGCCTTTTTCTAGTCGGCTGGTAGCGGTGAGGAGCGCAGAGGCTTGGGGCAGCCGGGCTGCGACGAGGCCGCGGCGCACCGAGCGAGTGGAGCCGGCGGCGGCGGCGGCGGCGGCGGCGGCGGCGGCGCTAAGTCGGCAGACGCAGCGGCGAGGTGTACGAACCGGCGGGGTCACCAGCCAGGGGACTCCGCACTGGAATTTGATATTCATTTATCCAGGGTTTACCCTGTTTCTTTTTTCTTAAACATTTTTAAAACCGTATTCTTTCCCATTTTAATTTATTTTTGCTTCCCATTCCCCGCTTAAATCGGGCCGACCGTTTGGGGAGATTGCTCCTTTACTCTCCCAAATCACTTCGGATTTTGCAAACCAGCAGAGAGAAGAAAGAGGTGGCAAGAGCTCCAGAGTGAAGTCGAGGAAGAGAGAGACGGGGTCAGAGAGCGCGCGCGGGCGAGCGAGCAACGAGAGGGACAGGGGCAAAGTGAGTGACCTGCTTTTGGGGGTGACCGCCAGAGTGCGGCGTGAGCCCTCCATCTCGGGATCCCGCATCGGACCAGCAGCGCTGACGGACAGACAGACAGACACCGCCCCCCGCCCCAGCGCCCACCTCCTCTCCGGCCAGCGACCGACGGTGGACGCGGCGGCGAGCCGCGGGCAGGAGCCGGAGCCCGCGCCCGGAGGCGGGGTGGAGGGGATCGGGGCTCGCGGCATTGCAGTGAAACTTTTCGTCCAACTTCTGGGCTGTTCTCGCTCCGGAGGAGCCGTGGTCCGCGCCGGGGCAGCCGAGCAGAGCGGAACCGGGAGAAGTGCTACCTCGGGCCGGGAGGAGCCGCAGTCCGAGCAGGCGGAGGAGGAAGAAGAGAAGGAAGAGGAGAGGGGGCCGCGGTGGCGACTCGGCGCTCGGAAGCCGGGCTCATGGACGGGTGAGGCGGCTGTGTGCGCAGACAGTGCTCCAGCCGCGCGCGCACCCCAGGCCCTGGCCCGGGCCTCGGCTCCGGGAGGAAGAGGAGCCCGCCTAGGCGCCGAGGAGAGCGGGCCGCCCCGCACCCTGAGTCGCAGAGGGAGCGCGAGCCGCGCCGGTCCCGGCCGGGCCTCCGAAACCATGAACTTTCTGCTCTCTTGGGTGCATTGGAGCCTTGCCTTGCTGCTCTACCTCCACCATGCCAAGGTAAGCGGCCGTGCCCGCCTGGCGCCGCGGGCCGCTGCGAGCGTCTCTCCCGGCTGGGGACGTGCGTGCGAGCGCGCGCGTGGGGCTCCACGCGGGTCCTTGGGCACCGGGCGCGCGTCTTCCCTCTCTATCCGTGTAGGGGGAGGGGGCGCGCGCTAGGTGGGAGGGCACCAGCATAGAGTCTCACCGCCCACGCGGGCCCTGCCCACCCACCACAGTCGCCGCACGTACGATCTGGGCCGACCAGCGGAGGGCGGGAGCCGGAGGAGGAGGCCGAGGGGGCTGGGCTTGCGCTGCCGCTGGCGGCTGAAGTTTGCTCCCGGCCGCGGGTCCCCGACGAACTGGAAGTCCAGGCAGCGGGGGCGGGAGCCGGAGCCCAGTGGGCAGGGGGGTGCTCGGACCTTGGACCGACGGAGGGCAGAAAGCGTGGAGGGGGCAGGGCGCAGGCGCGAGAGGGAGCTTGCTGTCACTGCAGTTCGGTCTCTTCGGCTCTCCCCGCGAGTTTGGGAAAAGTTTTGGGGTAGATTGCTGCGGGGACCCCCCTCTTAGCCGGGCCACCTGCGCCGCGCTACCCCCGCCCGTCCCCGCTCGCGTCCCGCTCGG